GTGAATTGGTAGCGGTACCATGTACTGCATACTCATTCATGTAGGGAGGGGGCCGGGATCTGGGGGCCCCCTTGTTAAATTCAAGCTGTCAAAATAAATATTATCTAGACCTTCGAAATAAGTAAAATCATTACCGAAATAATTATAAAGCATAAGAAACAAAAATAGAATCAATAGAACTAAGGAAATCAAATTAGAATACATAAAGATATACCTAGTGCTGTTTGCCAAACACAGAAGACGCGATCGAGTGCCCTCTGTCAGTGGACTCCACACAGAGATTTACTATTGAACAGTGTCTAAAAAGAAAGCGCCCACGGAAGACGTCTAAAATGTGTTCTGCACATGCGCATTTATATCCGGCCATAGTCACTGGAAAAGCGTTTAGTTCTTCACTGTGACGACTCGCTTTAAAAAAACTATTTTTTACACATTTTAAAAAATTTTTGAAATGTCAGATATTGTTTAAAGTGAAGTCCTGATATTTGGCAAAGCAAATTTCAATGTGAACATGTCTCTGCAGTGATTTTTCATGGTGTTAGACGTGCCTCTTAGCAAGTCTGCTTTTTGAGTCTGATTCCTGGACTGTGTCTCGTTAGTAAATTCGATGTGGCGTCTACTTGTTGACGCTTTCTTTAGTAAATCTCTTTGCAGTCTAAAAGTAGACGGTCGCTATTAAAAAGTAGACGTTAGCCCATGGAAATGCGCCTAGGCACAATAGTAAATCAGGGTCAAAGTGTCAGAAAAGGTTTGATATCAAGTGGTTAGAAGACTAGGTGGTGTGTGGCATCAGCTTCTAATGTTGGCCCAGGATAGTAGAAGCACCTCTCCAAATGACCCTTTTTGGAAATCAGACACTCCAAGGTATTTGCTAAGGGGCATAGTGAGTATTTTGCAGATCTCATTTGTTGTCACAAGTTTTTGGAAATGAAGAAACAGAATGAAAATTTATTTTTTCCTCCTTTATTTTTCAAAACCCTGTGACAAAAATTATATCTGCAAAATACTCATCATGCCTCTTTTCAAATTCCATGGAGTGTCTTCTTTCCAAAAATGGGTCATGGGGGGGGGGGGGTTACTATCCTGGCATTTCAGGGCCTACCTGTGATAGGTAGTGGGGGGGTAAACAAAAGCTAGACTTTTTATTGTTCTAAAGAAAGAGCATAACATAAAACCATACTGTTGGTGGGAGGTAATGAACTAATTTTTAGCTCTCATGTTATAATTCTTTCCAATTTTTTTAAGACATCTCACTCCCTGAATAAGAAAAAATAAATTAAAAATGTGAACATTAAAAAGGGTAGTACACAAAAAGTCAGCTTTGCCTGTGTCAAGAACAAGTGGCACAAACAAAACCAGCTCATGTGAGGGCAACCATATATGCCCTTTGATTTCCCCAACAGATGAAACAAATGTAATGGTAGATATAGAAAACAGGAGGACAAACAAGGGGGTGTTTTGTAGTTAGTGTGCAGTGATATGCCACACACAGAAAGAAGCTTTGCTTGTTTAAACAACAAATTTAAAACTAAAGTTACCTTCTTTGGAGGACAGACATCCTTTTCCCTTTAGGTGTTCCCACTTCACCTATGCCTACAGGCCAGTGGATCCAGGCACTATTTGGAAAAGTAATAAAGTTTTTCTGTATTATCCCAGTGTGCTATCTCTTATATGGTGGCATATACCCCCTTAAGATTCTTCCCTTTGATCTGTAAGGAGCAAAACATCCCCCTTGAAGCTTTGCGACAGACTGGGGCCCACTGAGGGAAGACGAGACGGACGGGTGACATCTTCCCAGGCCTTCACCCATTATTAGCGCAGCGTTTGATCTTGTCTGGAGAGGAGCCATTATTGGAGTGCTGACCCTTAGAGAGAGTTGTGTATGCAGTGGGAGCAAATCTTTGGAGTGACAACCGTCCTGAAGGATCTGTGAGAGGGATCCTTTTAAGTGTTTTGACCCTCAAGGGTCGAAGTTTTAAGGTGAGAGGCTGATCTAGCCGGTGGTCGGATATTTTGTCAACAATCAACCCACTGTCACACAAATATCAGCACGAGTTTTGGATTGGAGTGTGATCATCTATGTTTTTGGACTTTATAAGCACAGAAATATATAATTTTCGTGTTGTGTGTTGTTGCACTTTTTTCACATGTATGCACATTGATTTTCTCTGAATGGGGGTATTTAAGGATACACGTGTGTATTGATGTACACGTTGGTTCATATTTATATATATATTTATTTATATATTCCTGTAGATGCACTAATATATATTTTTTGGGAATTGATTATATATTATATATTTTCAATAGTTGGAAATATTGATTTATTTTTTGTTTTCATCACTATCACTGTTGAAATTTGTTTTGGGTTCACTGATCACTGGATGATATTTATTTGTGAAAATTTCACTTAAAAGGGCACGGTATTGGTATTATTATTATATGATATGTTACATGATAAGTTATATATTATTATAATTATGATTTGATACACATATTGTGGGGTTTATACACAGATAAATATTTTATATGAGTAGCGCTACATTTTATTTATTTATTAGTTCACATACCCCTTGAAGCTGCCTCCTATTTCCTCCTTCTCACCATCAGCAAACCAACCTTCACTACCAGCACCAGCACCAGCTTTCTCATCATTACAACTCAACTCCTCTTAAATATTTTACTAGTCCTCTGCCTTCTGCAAGTATGCAAAAGATCCTTTTGGCTCTGAGAAAGTAGAAAAATTTCCTTTGTCCTACTTCTGTGCCTCTGGTGCGTAGTCTATTAGAGCATGCAATGTGTTCTCCAGCAAAAACACCAGAAGGACCTGCAAACTCTGCATCATAACCACTCACCATTCTTGTAGATTATTTGAATGACAAGATGTTGAAAGTATCCTTAATTAGGAGCCATTGTTGATAGTCCAGTGTTGCTGGTGCAGCTGCTGCATCATGGACAACAAAAAGTTCTAATATGTGGGTGTAATGCATATCAGGGCATGAAACATATGCTGCTGAGTTCACAGCTCATGGAGAAGGAGGGGTGCTTAGGCCATTTAACCTTGTGTGCTCAAGGACCTTGTCCTAAGAATAAGGGTAGGCTTAATGCTGCTTACTTTTATCATTGAGGTGCTGCTCCCACCCAGGTCTTTGATGCAAAGCCTTGTGTTTCCTCATGCATGCAGTACCCAAATGGCTGGTATATTTACTTTGGTTTTTATGCTGCAGAAAGAAGCTGCAGACCATAGTGGTGTTTTTGGCAGCTGATATGTTAAAAAAAAAAAGGCCCACACTGCAGAAGTCTTTCAATTTGCTGTCTTTTCAAGTGCCCTAGTACTCTCCTGAAGTTAGTCAATTTCTACCAAAACACATATGTAAAGTTTATATTTTGTAGTTATTTTGGGAATAATTTTGGATATGGAAATGGAGTAGGGGGCTTGGGGAATGTGGGGTTGTATATTTTCTTAGTTTTTCTACACTTGTTTGTACTTTTAAGATAATACAGTGTCAGGCTGTAATCAGGCACTGGCTATAATCTGGTGCTTTTTTTTATTACACTGTCTGTAATCTGGCATTGTCTGTGATCAGGTGTGATCCAGCAAAGGGCATTGTGATTTGTGCATCATAACATTGGTTGCTATGATGCTCATCAAAGCCAGTGTTTACATGTCCTTTATACCAGTCACAATGACCACAAGGTATACAGACAACTCTTATTGGCTCTGTACTTAGTGCCTGTGATTTCATTTACAAATACAATCACAGGAATTGTTTACATTTGTGACAGCTGCAACAAGTCAGAGTGGTCAAGTGGTACAGAGCTCATTCATTTGGCTCTGTACCATTTTTCTTTGATTTGTACTGTCTAATGATAGTTCAACCACAGTTACTGGCGTGTGAGCGCAGAGAAAAAATAGGTTTAAATGCGATCATTCAGTACAGTAAGTGCACTATCCAACCAATGTATTACAACTGGCAGCCCTTAAGTAGTTTAAGTTGAATGTTGTTTTTCAGACCAGTATAATTCTTTTTGCAAATTCTCAGCAATGGTGTACATTTGCAGAGTGTATTTGCCTGTAAAATTGTTTCCCCTTTTTCAGTTAGCTTGGCTTACATACAGCAGCAGCACCCCAGTCTGATTCATTTCAGTTAAAAAAATTTTTTTTTTCAAGTAGCTATAGCAGTGACACATGCTTTCATCAAGCAGTAATAAGCCCACTTTGACTGGCAGATAAAAATTGGGCAGTAGTTTGCTGAACTATGCAAAACTGTCCAAGAACCAACTAATTTCTATCAAGTTCTCATAATGAATTAAGAGTCATTTGTGATGAAAGAGAATTGGCTGAAATGTACTTGGGGGGGGGGGGGGGGGGGATGCAGGCATGTGTTTTACTAAAAGAACTAAGAGACTGCAGATGACACAGCAGTGTAAAACTGACCAGTCAATTTTAAACAGCAAGACTAAGCCCATATTAATTAGAGACAAAGAGTGCAGGCTGGAGCTTTACTACAAAAACTAAGATACTGCAGGGAATACTTCAGTGTAAAATTGGCCAGTGGTAGTATGCAAAGGATCCTTTTGGCCCTGAGAAAATAGAAAGTGTTCCTCTTTGTTCTACTTCTATTCAAATAATTCAGAAGTTTGTTGCAAAAAAATTACTGCTTAACCACCTTCCACCAGCCCTATAGTACAATGACGGGCGCAAGGTGGTTCTCTCGTTCTGATAGGACGTCATATGACGTCCTACCATTCTCACTGCGCATGCGTGGCTCAGGGAGCACGTAGCATGGCGATCGCCGGTGCACTGTGTCCCTCGGACACAGCGGATCACGGAAAGAGCCAAATATGTCGGCCTGGTCATGTGATCAGCTGTGTCCAATCACAGCTGATCACATGTAAACACGGAAATGCTGGTTATCGGCATTTCTCTCCTCTCAAGCTGTCACGCTGACAGCTCGAGAGGAGAGGAGAGCCGGTAATCTGCTTTCTGCGGAGGGGACATGTACACTGATCATCAGGGCACTTATGATCAGTGTGCCCTGATGATCAGTGTGGCCCCAGAAGTGCCACCTGTCAGTGCTCATCAGTGCCAGTGTCCATCAGTGCCACATCAATGCCACATATCAGTGCATACCAGTGCACATCAATGCCACATATCAGTGCCCATCTGAGCTGCCTTTCAATGTCACCCATCAGTGCCAGTCAGTGCCACCTATCAATGCCAATCAGTGCCACTTAACAGTGCCAGTCAGTGCTGCCTTTCAGTGCCCATCAGTGATGCCTGTCAATGCCCATCAGTGCAACCTACCAGTGCCTCCTCATCAGTGCCCATCAGTGCCACCTATCAGTGTCCATCAGTGCAGCCTATCAGTGCCCATCAGTGCAGCCTCATTAGTGCACATCAGTGAAGGAGAAAAATCACTTATTTACAAAATTGTATAACAAAAACTAAGAAAAAACATTTTTTTTTCAAAATTTTTAGTGATTTTTGGTTTGTTTAAGAAAAAATAAAAATCCCAGAGGTGATTAAATACCACCAAAAGAAAACTCTACCTGTCTCAAAAAAATGATAAAAATTTCATATGGGTACAGTGTTGCATGACCGCGCAATTGTCATTCAAAGTGTGACAGCGCTGAAAGCTGGAAATTGTCCTGGGCAGGAAGGGGGTATAAGTGCCCTGTAGGCTAGTGGTTAAAGTACATATGGACACTAAGGCTGGGTTCCCAGTTGAGCAGAAAGCTGCTGGAGTGCTTTACCTGTCCGGCAGCGGTCATCTCCAACTTGCGCTAGGGGGCAGTGTGGTACCAATTCAGTGCATCACATGGCTCCCTTCTTTTTTTTTTTCTTTTTGCTTTGGATAAACCAAACCTACACTTCATTCTTTGCACTGTTCAGCAGTGTGCTTGACTCCACTGCTGTACAGTGCCATGCAATTCTGTGCAGTGCTCTGCAATAAAATGCAGCATAGAGCAATAGTTTTCTGTGTGTCCTTGTGGTGACAGGCATTTGTGCAGTGACAGACGTTTTACTGTATTGCAAATGTATGAATTAGCCCTAACAGTATCTTTAAGCATCTCTTTTTTTTTTTTAAGGCCCTATGAAAAAAAAAAAAAGAAAAAGAAAAAATATGCAGCAAAAAAAAAGAATTTAACCTCAACATGAAATCAAAAGCAATGATTACCAAATAAAAATGAAAATACCAAACTACAACAATCTGAAGCAACAGCCCTTTTTGTAAAGGAAAGCATTGCAACAAAAAAGAAAAGATTGCTATGGACCAGACAACAGCTAAAAGTGCTGACCTCCAATCAATCTAAATAAATGGAAGATCATGAAAAGTAACAATGCAAAAAAGCTATCAATCAGAACTAAAGTGGACCTTCCAAGCTAACTTTGATCTTTCCCTGTGCAGTTTACAGCTTTCAGCTTTATAGCTGCTTTGTGATGCCTTTTTATAGTGAGGGTGCTGGCTTATCCCCCTTATAGACCCTTCTAAGCCTGCTGGACAGAGTTTAAAGGCCCTGCAGTACATTGTGGTTTTAAAAAAAAAAAAAATAGGCAATCCTGTAAAAACGTGCAATTGATAGAAATAGGCGCTCACCAAAATAGTGCAATCTTGATAATCATACAAAATAAATACAAATCAACATGACATACGTATAAAATACTGTGTCACAAAAACATGAAATCCACAATCCCAAAAGTCATTCTAATTCTGTAAAAACATTTGCAGAGATTGTGAATTTCAAACCTACAGAATTCAGTTCAAACCCATAGTAACAGTAAATATTAATCTCATCCCTAGGTACAGGTTACAGTCCATAGAGAAGGTTTTTTTTGTTCTTCTTTAATGCTGATGTTTAAAGTAGTTTAACTACTTGCCCTCCAGATGATTTACACCCCTTCCTTACCATGCCATTTTTTGCGATACAGCACTGCATTGCTTTAACTAGCAAATGCGCGGTCATGCAGAGCTGCACCCAAAGGAAATTTATGTCCTTTTTTTCCCACAAATAGAGCTTTTTTTTGGTGGTATTTGATCACCTGTTTGTTTTTTTTATTTTTTGCGCTATAAAAAAAAAAAACATTTTGAACAAAATTTATATTAATATTTTTTACTTTTTGCTTTTAAACATGTCCAGTAAAAAAAATTAAAAATAAATAATTTTGTCATAAATTTAGGCCAAAATGTATTCTGCTACATGTCTTTGCTAAAAAAATTATCCCAATACCTGTAAATTCATTAGTTTACATGAAAGTTATAGTGTTTACAAATGGCTGTGTATATATATCTATTTACTAGTAATGGCAGGGATCAGCGACTTATGGTGGGACTGCTGCAGGCATTCTGACACTGGGGGAAATTGACTTGGTGTCACTGACATCCCCAGTGATACCAATACAGTGATCAGTGCTAATAAAAAGCACTGACACTTTACTAATGGCATTGGGTAGGAAGGTGTTAACATGTGGGGCAATCAAAGGGTTAACTGTGTGCTATTTTACTATGGGGATGTGTGTGTGCTTCACTCTAAGCACACTGCTTTGTATAGGTCTGCGTCGGAAATCCTGGGAGATCGCCAGGTGCTGGTGGGGAATCACTGGCCAGGACCCAATTATTGACAGCCAAGGCTGCAAATGGCGGCATGGGTAGGGCGCATGCGTGCCCCCTACCCGGAACGCCAAAATCACATATATATATATGAAACACATAAGGAGACAATGTACTATGTGTTATTTTTTTTTTTACATTTGAAACACATAAGGAGATAGCTTTTACTGCACCAATGCACTTGGCATTGGTGCAGTAAAAGCTTCTTTCTGGCACCTTGACCAAACAGCTAATTTTTGTTCAAGTATCACCGTATTGTACTCAAAAACAACCACACCATCTTTTTCCAGAGGAGCCTGTTTTTTCTTTTGAGGTTGCCTGTGGGTTTTTCTTTGAATCCCAGACAATTCATCTGTCAGTTATGGATGCAATCTTTCTTGGTCTACCTGACCTTAGCTTGGTATCAAGAGATCCCCGAAGTTTCCACTTTTTAATAGGTGATTTAACAGTACTGATTTGTGGCATATTCAAGGCTTTGGACATCTTTTTATGTCCTTTTTCATCTTTTGAAAGTTTCCATTTCTGCCAGGGTACCTTGTTGTACGCAGGACTTTTGACAGCTATTTTCTGATCCCATGGCTCAGTATCTAGCCTAGTCAGTGCTTCCATGTAAGCTTTTAGCTAACAAACTCATTGACTATTTACACAGGCTGACACTAATTGCAATTTAAAAAGCCACAGATGTGTGGAACATCATAATCTCTAATTGGCATTTTAGCCCATGTGGTACTGTGTCACCTTGTGTGTCTGTACCAAGGCCAAACATTCCAGGGTATGTAAACTTTTGATCATGGCCATTTGGATGATTTCTGTTATTATGATTTAAAAAGTAGCCAAACAACTATTTGATAAGAAATGGCTTCATATGATCATTATCCTTCAATAAAAGAGCATTTTTGGCATGATCAGGGACTTCTCTCCAACGCTTCAGAGAGCGCACAGCATCTTCATTCTGCACGAAACCACGGTAGCGTTCAACAGTGCCCTTTGCCTTGAATTTGCGATGTTTTATTTTCAATATCAATGCCAAAATTTCACAATTTTCAGAGTGCCAGGGTATGTAAAACTTTGTGAGCACAACTGTACGTATATACTACAGGGAGTTGAATCTGGTACATATCATCAGACTCAGAGATCAAAATTTGTATTAAAAAAAAATAAAATTAAAAGATCTACAGTAACACTCAGTTTTACAAATTTTCAGACAGGACTGTAATATAATATTATGCATGACAGGCTCCATTGCCATAGGCAGGTAGCTTGATAGAAGCTCTGTGTGCTTGCTGTCACTAAGACATTTAGTAGCAGCAGCTTGCTTTTCATATCACCTTTCATGATAGGGTTAAAAAACAAAAATTAGCCATTTATAGTACAAAACAGCAGATAATCACTACTATAAGGGGTTAATTTATAATGTGAAACATTGAAAGTAATATAGATACTGTATATACTGAAAAGCAAGGAGAGTCTTGTGTACTGCCAAGATACCCTTAAAGAGAAAAGCTGCTGCCTACACCAAAATATGTTCCCACATAACATTGACAAAGAAAAAAATGGAAAATTGTATCAAATACTTATTGTAATTTTCCTTTCCTGGTGCCCATACATAGCAGCATACCTGTGATAGAGCTCCGTCTCTTAACCATTCCCTCCGCACCAGTGAATAGCATAAAAAAGGAACAGGCAAGGCCACCCACATCTTTTGTAATTCGTCATATACCAACATGCATAGGGTTGGCATGGATGCTGCCATGGATGAAAATTAAGGTAAGTATTTGATACAATTTTCTGTTTTCCTGGTGCCCACCTGGCAGCATACCTGTAATAAATAACTAGCTGACAGGGTGGGTACTACATGACAAAGTGACTTTATTTTGCAGTATGACAGAAGACTGTATAGTCCTTCCAAAGTCTACTGTTGACAAGGAATCGGGTCTATTCTGTAAGAAAGTATGCTGAGATGACCGTGATGCCACTCTGCATATGGTTTCCATAGATACTCTTGAATGGGCTGCCCAGGAGGGGAGTGAGCATCATTGCTGAAAGAGGCTCAAGGCCCCTCACTCTGTATGCGTTAATGAGTTTAATGATCCAGCTAGCCAGGGTTCTGGCAGTGGCTTCCTTTCCTCAATTCTTCCCAGTCGGAATGATAAAGAGCTTCTCAGAGGATTTAAAAGGAGAAGTAGCAGAGAGATACTTCCTCAATTTCCCTCGAGATTGCCAATCACTTCAAAAATAAGATTGACACTATCCGCAGGGACATCGCTGCTGCTCAAACCTCCACCCCACCTACCTCCTCTCACACAGCAACCCCCTCAACACCCCTCCCCCTTGGCCTCACCACTGTTCAGACCTCCACTCCATCTAACATCCATCTAACCCCATCGAAAACCAAATGAGGAGGTCACCAAGGTCTTCTCTGAAGCCTGCCTTACCACCTGCCCCCTCGACCCTGTCCCCTCACAACTCCTACGATCTCCCTCCTCCTCCATCCTACGCTCCCCCGCCCACATCTTTTAATCTCTCCCTCTCTTCTGGTGCATTCCCCTCCCCTCTGAAGCACGCACACATCACTCCCATACTTAAAAAGCCCTCCCTGGACCCCACTGACCCAAACAACCTTAGACCCATCTCCCTGCTGCCATTTACATCCAAACTCCTTGAGCGCTTAGTCTATACTCGCCTAAGCTCTCACCTCAACGACAACAACCTCCTCGACCCCCTACAGTCCAGCTTCCGTCCCCTACACTCCACCGAAACCGCCTTACTCAAACTCACAAACAACCTGCTAATCG